TGTGCTCCAAATTAGAATAAACCTTATGTGTTCAGCCCTTCCTACGCCAGATCTCTGGCGACCACTTTGCTGACTGGCAGTGTTCTCAGAAGAGCGTTCTGGAAAGGAAAGTGTGTGAACCTGCCGCCCAAAAGGTGTTTCAGAGTTGTGGAAGCCCGGAGAACCCTGATAGGCTGATGTCTGGCAGTTTGGTGACTCGCCCTGGTGATACATGATCTGGGTGGTGTGTATAGATGCCAACCACATACTGGGGCTTGACTCTTGACCTGATGGGGAAGAGGTTCTAATAGTGAGGGTTGTTTTTCTCACCTTCAGCCTGTTGTGCCTCAAACCATCCTGTGTGACTGCCTGACCCTAGGGCTTTATTGAGGTGTGGAGTATGTAGCCACCAGAGATCCAATTTGTACCTCATTAACTAAATTCTGGATGACCTGCCTGAGCTAAGGGGCCAGGAGCTATCATGAGTCATAGCTGTTTTATTTGCAATACTTAAAGAACCTTAAGACATTGTTTCCAATGGATACTTAAGCCAATTAGATTAATTTGGAGTGGGTGGACTCTAGGGGGAAATTTATGTTTGGGAATAGATTGTCCATGCAAATTCTGTGTTCATTACCTGTTTATAGTCTCATGGACAAATGTTAGGCAAAGTGGAAAGCTAAAATAGATGCTACATCTGAAACCTATCTCCCTAGAAACAGAGTCGGCCCATGCTTTGGCTTTAAATATTGGTTAATATTCCATGATCTCAGGTAAGCCTACTGTAAAGCTTCTGTTTAAAAACTTGTTCAAACCACATGTGGGGCAGAGTGTAGCAGGTGGGACAGGGTTCCACCCTGGTCCTTCATTTTCCAGTAGTGATGGGGCCTATGCAAGCAACCCTAGAATAGAAGCGTTTTTATGCTTTTTGTCTGCAACCCCAAAAGTAAGAAGTATTTTGTAGTACAGTGAAGCCATATTTGATAGTTCATATTGAAGAGAGTGAACATAATTGAAACAAAAAAGGACTTACTTATCTTACTGTATGCTATGCATTGATTTTTAAATTTTCTTCTATTTGATTAAAAAAACCTACAGTTACCACTCACTAATTTGGTTACCTAACAACCCACAGATTAGGGAGCTTCTTCCAGCTTGCCTCCCCCATTTTACAGTTTTAGAAAACTGAAACCGAAAGGGAGACAGGGACTTGGATGGAGTCTTTCTCCAAGCAGTTGACTGCAGAATTGGGACTAGATATAACCCATCTTGATTGACCACTCCACCTAACTGCAGGCTCATCAATTGTTTCCCTCATTTTCTCTTCACATTTGGGAGTTTCCTCTGTCATCAGACTTGGTTTAGTCAAGAGTAAGCCTTATTTGTGCTACTTCTATTCCCAAATTGATGTTTCTTCTCCAGGGAGTAATGTCCCATGGACTGCCAAGGTTGGCAAGGTGCCACCACATGCCCAGAAGCTAATGAACACACTGGGGGCCTGGGGGAGCAGCCAATTATGCATGAAATAACAGTTTCCATTTTCTTTTCAATTTTTCATTGGATTTAGGGGTAGGTGAAACAGATGCCTGAAATGAGGTGATTTTTTACTTACCAGGATATGTTTAATAATTCCTGCTTGAAGTTCCAAAAGGGAAACTAGTGTCTGTCAATTTACCTCATTGTTAGCATTGCTCTGATAGCAAAATAAATTTTACACCTTTGTGAAGGCTTTGGCATTCTGGTGTGGCACTATATAGGATAAGTACTCAACCACAAGGTCGGCTTGAACCTCAAGGTTGCCGGTTCACATCCGCCAAATGCTTCTCAGAAACCCTAATACCTTATACAGGATCACTATGAGTCAGAACTGACTTGACGGTACTGAGCAACAGCAATAAAAGCTTTGGAATGTGCATCTCTAAAATCTGACCTAGTAGGAGCATCTTGTGCTTTCACAGTGGAGCCTAACTCATGCTTTGGTACACTGGTGGTAACTTTTCTCTGGTATTGCTCTTGAATAAGAAATAGAATAGAATGTCTTTTCAATAGACTTTTGTTGTTAAGTTCTAACTCATAGTGACCCTGTATAGGGTTTCCAAGGACCAACTGGTGGGTTTGAACTGCCAACCTTGTAGTAAATAGTCTAGTGCTTATCCTACGGAGCCACACCAGGACTCCATTTTCAGTAGATTTCTTGTTAAGTGCCGTTGAGTCAGTTCCAACTAAATGACCCTGTGTAAGATTTCAAGGAGCAGCCGGTGGATTTGAACATCTACCTTGTGGTTAGTATGAATCCATCTTTGTAACGCTACAGAAAGGGATTGTGTGGCCAGGCATTTTGGAGCGCTGCCTTCTGTAGAGAGTGAGGAATGGCTGGAATGTACTCATCATTCCAGCTCGCTGCCTGTGTCACAGTGTCTGGGGACTTTTTTTAGGACACACTTTTTTATATGTGGCGATGGAAAGGCAGTGCCCAGTGAGAAATCACCTGGTTCTCTATTCTTTGTACATAGGAAAAGTTATTGATTCTTAATCCTTGAGTCAAATGGAGGCCTAGAATTAGTTTTTTTCTGGAAATGACTAAATTAACACTCATTTACACTCTTTAAAAAGGAAGCTACTTTAGAAATGTTATTGTTGAGGGCTGTTGAGTTGGTTCTGAGGAGTGGCTGGTGGGTCTGAACTGCCACCCTTGTGGTTAGCAGTCCATTGCTTATCCTATAGCATTACACCATGACTCTGGTTTATAAATAGAATAATATAAATACATGTGAAAGCACTTTCATGAGATAAGCAAAATGTTCAATGTGCATAGGAGTAGGACTGGACCGAGGCAGAGGTGCCAGAGACCATGGTTGATTGTTTGAGGCTCACTTGAGTGCTGTGGCTTAGTGTCTGGCCCTACAAGTGTTTCCTCACTTCTCTGAATCTTGACTATCATTTACAACAGAGAAAGCAGTATCTACCACACAGAAACTACTGTTAAGATCAAATGAGATCAATTTCTGTAATGAGCCTGGCATATAATGTGCTTTGTTGTTACTGTGAAATGCCTTAGAGTCAGTTTTGTCTCATAGTGACCCTGTATAGGATTTCTGAGGCTTAAAATCTTCGTGGAAGCAGAAAACTCATCTTTTTCCCTCAGAGCAAAAGATGGGCTCACACCACTGACCTCGTGGTTCCCAGTCCAGTGTTTATTACATGGAACCACCTTGCTCATCAATAGGTGCTTTAGGGGCACTGTAAGATAAGCACTGGGCTACTAATCGCAAGTTGGGCGGTTAAAACCCACCAGCTGCTCCTCAGAAACCCTACACAGGGTCGGAAGCAACTTGACAACTCTTAATATTACCCACATGAGAGAACAGAACCCTGATGTGGCTCTGTGGGCTAATGTGTCAGACTGCAAAGTCGTTTGAACTGCAAGGTCAGTGGTTCAAGCTCACCAGCTGCTCCTTGGAAACCCCATATAGGGTCACTTTGGGTCGGAATCAACTCAATGGCACTTAACAACAACATGAGAGGGCAGAGGGCTCATATCCAGCAGATTCATCCACACCACTTTGTCTTGGGAACCTGAGTAGTAAAAATTTTAGCTGCTGTCAAGTTGGCTATAACTTATAGCAACACCATCTTCCTGATGGGTGTTATGCTCAATGCCGTGGTTGCTGCCTCTGTGTATTTTGAGTGCTTTCCAACCTAGGAGTCTTCCAGCACTATGTAGTTGTTATTGTTAAAGTTGGTTCCGATTCAGGTGGGTTTGAACAGCCGCTGGCCAACCTTACAGCTCAAACTGACCTTGTGGTCTAGTGCATTGCCCTGCAGCACAACACCAGGATAGTATTGTGTTTTGCTTTATAAGGTTTTCATTGGCTCATTTTCAGAAGTAGATCTCTAGGCCTTACTTCCTAGCTTTCCTAGCCTCAGTTTGGAGGGTCCACTGACTGAAACCTGTCCACAATGAATTGCCCCTACTGGTGTTGAAATACTGGTGGCTTGGTTTCCAGTATCATAGCAACAAACACCGTGACAAACTTGACTGAAGTGTAGTTGGAAGCCCTGTATGAGTGTGAATAAAAATTTGTAGCCATTTCTTTTCTGTTTTCCCCATGATAACACAGAAAACTAGCTTGACGTTCCCTGAAACCTTTACAAGCAAAGGTGTATGCTTTGCTAAGATCCTGGGTGCCTCAGGGCCTGGGTGCCTCAGGGAATGGGGTAGCCCTGATGGCCCCAGGAGCCCATCTTTGGTCTTAAAGGTGTTCCCCAGTTTTGGTAATCAGTGAATGACCTAGAACACTGTGTATCTTTTAAAACAAGTTAGTCAGCCCCATCATTTGTTTTTGATGCAGATGTTAATCATTAAAGCTGGGCCCAAGTTCCATTGCTAATAAGGTTAATGGAGCTTGCATCTGGCCTTGGGCAAGAGGCGTTGTGTGTGTAGATACTTTGGTGAAGTAATCTTACTAAATGGTACCTATTCAGGTTTTCCCTATGTGTAAGTGCCCTGGTGTGGCGATGTAGGGTAAATACTGGACTGCTGACTGCAAGGTTAGTGGTTCAAATCCACCTACCGCACCTTGGGAACCCTGTATGGTGTCGCTATGAGTAAGAACTGACTCGACTGCACTTAACAACAATAAAAGTATCTTATAAAATACTTGTATTATAATAGGATAATCTTATTAGAAAATGGCAAGATTGAATACAAACAATAGGTTGGTTTCGAGTTTTCCCCGTCTGTGGTGGCTTTCTCTACCGTCTTGGGGAGGTGCTGGCTGTTTGGCGGCTCCTGGAGCCCAGGCCCTGCCTCTCCATGTCTGGTCCCGCCCCTCCTGTTTGTTTTTCTGCAGGAGGAGGCGGGGCAACCCCCCCCCCCCCCCCCAAGAGCTCAGACTATTTGTCTTTCAGTAGCTGGAGGAGGTGAGCAGCTCTTAAGTCAGTTCCCAGGCCACTTCCAACCCTAGTGTCTTTACGTTTGTTTCTGGCAGAGTGTCTTTACTCACATAAGCTGAGAAGCAGAGCCAAGACTGGACAGAGGAACGCACGGACAGACGATAGACGGAGGACACGCTGGCTGCAGGACCCCGCTGCCTCCCCCTTCTTCCCGTTGTCTGTGCTCGGAGGATGAGCCCAGCCTTCAGGGCCATGGACGTGGAGCTCCGCGCCAAGGGTGTCCTGCTGGAGCCCTTTGTCCACCAAGTCGGGGGACACTCATGCGTGCTCCGCTTCAATGAGATGACCTTGTGCAAGCCTCTGGTCCCAAGGGAGCACCAGTTCTACGAGACCCTCCCAGCTGAGATGCGAAAATTCACTCCCCAGTACAAAGGTAAGCCCCTCGCCGCCATAGGGGAAGCCAGCACCAAGGAGATACAAAGGTGACGGCTTGTGGAAGGCCTGCGCAGCCTTTCCGGAACCTTGCCCCCTTCCCACTCACTGTGTTTTCCCTCCTCCTCCTCTTGGCCCTCAGCCCAGCACCTCACACCCTCAGTTTTCAAGCCTTGGTAAGATTGCTCAATTCTGTTTTGTTTTGTGGATTTGTTTTGAGTTTATTTTTGGTGGAAGTGTAGATGTGTTTTATGTTCAGGTGTCTCTTGATGGCTGTAACCCATGAGGGGAACAGCAGGAGAAGACTCTGGGAGGGTTTTACTCAGAATACTTGCCGCCTGCATCTTGTCCTCCAGGAAATCAGAAGCCGGGTGATTAGGTAGGCTGGGAGCAGGGTTGATTGAGTCAGATGGAATGCAGGAGTGGGAGGCCTGTGCTGATTAGCTGAAAACCCTTTGCTGTTACAGACTGTCCCTGCAATTGCCCCTTTGATACAACTAATTTAATTTTTTGAGGGAACATCAACAGTTACCAGTATGATGTGGCCTTCCCTGGGGGTGGGTGTCCAACCCTTTGTAAACCAAGGAAGAGGCCATTAAGGAAATTAATTTTAAATTTGCATTGCTTGGTTGTACAAAAGACCCTGGAACTACTACTACGTAGTCCTGGGATTGTTGAAACTTTTTTTTTTTAAAGCCAGAATGTACTGGGCTTAATCTGTAATCTGAATATGTCTGTGTGTTTGTGGTGAGGGTGGGGGTTGGGGGCCCTCACTTGGTCCTTCTCTATTGTTTTTTCCAGGACAAAGCCAAAGGCCCCTTGTTAGATGGCCACCCCTACCCCCTTTTTACCCTTGGTCTTTTCCCCGTGGCCACAGGGAAGTGTGGTACCCTGAATTCCCTACCCGGGCTCCTCTGCACCCAGAGCTGGGGGATACCTCAGAAGTGTCGTCTCTCTGTGAGAACGCATTCCCCTGCTGGAGCGGGCAGGCAGCAAGGACTGAGCAGGTTGAGTGATCCCTGGCAGAGAGGCCTGGGAGGAAAGGCGTTCAGCCATTACGCTTGTAAGGCACGCTCGTCGGCACCTGCTGAAATGTTCCCACCTGACAGCCTCCCTCAAAGACTGTCTCATTACGCTTGGCAGGTTCTAGAGACTCCAGGGGGAGAGCTACTTTCGAGGCCACCACGCATCTGTGTTCCCTGCCCCATCCTATCTGCCTTGTGTTCATTTTCTTTTGTGACAGGAGACTGCAAAGACCAATAAAGTTAACATATTTGAGAAGGACAAAAGGCTTGGGGTGCCCACCTATGTGGGGGTTCTTCGGGAAGCCTTTCTAGGATGTCTCTTGTGCTGTGTGATTTGTTTTGTTTCCCCTTTATTTTGCTTTGCTTGCACAATCTTCTCTTACCCCACCCCCCAAGGCAAATCTGTCCACCGTACCCCCACTCCCCAGGGACTTCTGGCTCTTCAAAGCAAGCCTTGAAGCCAATGGTGTTTCTTTTTAGGGCATTAAAATATTGACAAGATATAAAGAGCAAATGTTTTACATTTTCCTTAGGATTAGAAGAGTTCCATAAAAAATTAATAAACATTTTCAATGATGGAAAAATGTGTCTTGTAATTCTTTGGCTCTTGCCTTTGTTGAGTGCATCAGAGAGGAAGACTCTCAGCCATGTTTGCTCCTTAATTGCTTGTCTTGTATGGTGTCATCTTTTCTAGCTGTTTTGATATTTGTTAAGTTTGCAGATGAGTTTGGGGCCTCTGGCAACAGAGAGACTAAAGAACAGGGTAAGAAAAAAAACAAATGTTACAATCATGTTATTTAGAACGCATCTTCCTGTGGAATTAAAAGTCTGCTGTGCTCCTCACCCTCCTTCCAGGTGTGGTGTCCGTGTGTTTTGAAGAAGATGAAGATAGGAATTTGTGTTTAATAGCATATCCAATAAAAGGGGACCATGGAACTGTGGACAATGTAGACAATTTAGACTGTGAACCAAAAAGTAAGCTCCTAAGATGGACAAACAAAAAGCATCATGTCCTAGAAACAGAAAAGACTTCCAAGGATTGGGTGCGCCAGCACCGGAAAGAAGAGAAAGTGAAAAGGTGGGTATAAACCCTGGGCTCTGTGTGAGAGGTCTTGGGTAGGAGCCAAGGACACATACACACAATGATCTTAGATGTTCTATCACTTGGTGAGGTGACCAGTTCCTGCATGGTACACCTGCCCAGCACCTCTTTTAATTAGATCATGCCCATTTTGGGGAAATGGCTGTGGAACAGCTGTAAAAGAGACATAGCTACCCATTCTGTATATGACTGCTCTGTGCCAGGCTCTCAGCTGGGTTGTGGGGTGTAGTAGTGACCCAGATAAGCCATTTTTGTGCACCTCAGGTTGCTTAGAGATTGTAGTGGATGGAATGGTCTCACTGAAATTTTAGGTCCACCAATATAGAGTCTTTAAAGTGTCACACCTTGACGGAACTTGTGAAATACGAAGGGGCTACAAAAAGCTCACGGATAAATTCTACTCATTATCAATTCCATTTTTACATGAACATTTTGAAAACCTTGCATATAATTTATATATGTTGAAGTGTCTCTGATGTAGCTAAGCAAGTCGACTTATTCCTGTGGAATTTCAATTCAGATTTTCCCAGCCCTCCAGCATTCTGGATATCCCAGAAGTTGGGCTGGTGCTGGCTAAGAGTGCAGTGGTGCCGCCTGCCCCCCACTGCCTGTAGGGGAAGTCGGGGAGATAAAGGCAGAGACAGTCCTTGCATCTTAGGCTCTCCTTGCTGTAGAAAACAGTGGGTTACCTCCTTAATTATTAACTCAACATGATTGAGGTATAATGTCTATTCAGTAAAATGCATTAAGTTGAAGTGTTCGATGTAATGAGTTTTGCAGATAGCTATACTGTAACCCACTACTACATCAAAATATCAAGCTTCTCATCACTTCAGAAAGTTCAGTTGTACTTCTTTGCCCATTAATTTTGATTAAACTGATAAATATTGAACCTTTGTCTCCTTATAGCCATAAATTGGAAGAAGAATTTGAGTGGTTAAAGAAATCTGAAGTCTTATACTACAGTGTAGAGAAAAAGGGAAACGTGAGTTCCCAGCTTAAACACTATAACCCTTGGAGCATGAAGTGCCACCAGCAACAGTTACAGCGAATGAAGGAGAATGCGAAGCATCGGAACCAATATAGTATCCTTTGTTCACAGAGCATCTCTGTTTTAAAAATGGGTGGTGTTGGGGTGAAGGTTGTAGTAGTGAGGAGAGAAGGCCCTTGGAGCACCCAGAGAGATGTTGGATTTTATGGTTTTAGTTTTAGTTATGGTGCCAGGAGACCCTGTGGCAAATCTTAACTCCCTGAGGAGTCAGGGTTGGCTTGCGAGTACAGGTAATAAGGAAATGGGTGAGGGGTGCCTTATGGAGGGGGACAGTCTATTTGGTGAGCCTAAACAACCTAGAGGAAATGGTCCCTGTTGTCAAACTTTTGAAGGGGAACCTGCTCAGTGCTCACCTGCCAAGACCTGAGTATAACTATCCTTTTCTGCATGAGGAAAACACCAGGATGTTTTTTTTTTAAATTACCTTATCACTCATTAACTGTGAATCATTTTAGATTTTTTTAGGTTATCTTATGGGGTGGAGGGGAATCACAGGTAGAATTGAGGGTTTTTTTAAAACTTTGTTAAGGAATAATCTAAACGTATGACAAATAGAATTTGTTGAATCCTAAATTCCTGGTGTGATTCTGTAGGATAGGCACCGGACTGCTAACCACAACGTTGGTGATTCAAATCCACCAGCTACTCCTGAGACAGTCTATACAAGGCTGCTATGTGTCAAAACCATTTCAAAGGCACTTAACATAAAGTACCCATGACCATAGCTAAGCATTTAACCCTCTTTGTAAATCTCATGTCATCACTTTCTGAATGTACCCAGCACCCCCAAATGGATTATTTGTGAAACTAGACTCAGATACATAATTCATCTGTGTACACCTCAGCAAATATTTTTTTAAAAAGGATATTTTAAAACTAATACTATCTCTTAAAAAGTAGACAGTAATTCTTTAATACCAAATACCTAGTTTGGACCCACATTTTCCCATTTGTCTTGTAAATATTTTTCTTTATTGATGACTTGTTTGGGGATCCCAATGAGATTTACCCTCATCTGACTGCATGAGTTCAAAATGTCTGTCTTTAGATAAGGTAGGGACCTTATTTTTTCTCTTTGAAGGTATCAGAAAACTGAGTGTTCTAGAGTTTCCTACAGTCTGAATTTACTGACTGCACTCCTACAGTTTCTCTGTCCCCTGTATTTTCAGGAAGTTGCTAATTGGGTCTGAAGGCTTGATCAAATTCAGTTTTATGGAGGTGCAGGCATTATATATCATAGATGCTATTGTGCTTGTCCATCAGAAATAGTTTTTTCATTTTCTTTGTGTTGGATCGTTGTTGCTTAAGCTCCATTTTTTTCATTATGTAACTTACTATTTTGTCATATTCTTCACTCATTAGCTTCAAATCCTTCTGTAAGAGACGTTTCCTCATCAACTATGCGGTTATCCTGACATGTAGTGTATATAGGAAAGAACAAGTTAAATGTTTATATTCGTTCCTTTATTAGATGCTTGGAATAATGAGTTTTCTATAGGATAAGCACTGGACTGCTAACCACGAGGTTGGTGGTTCAAACCCGGCAGCTGCTCCTCAGAAGCCGTATACCGGATTGCTTTGAGTTAGAACCAACTCAGTGGCATTTAACAACATCTCTGAAGATGACTATTGAGTGTTGTAGCTCATTATGAATAAAGTGAATGAATTTAAATATATTTGATGCCCATTTCAGTTGTCCTTACTGATTGATGCTTCTATCAGTCATCCTATTAGGACAGTAGAGCCTTTCGGATAGTCTTCTGAATTATTTGGATACAACTGTAGTAGTCTGGTAGTAGCTAGCTTGCTTTCTGATATGAAAAGGTAGTCTAGGATCATGTACGTTTCCTACTCCAGATGTGGGCTCTTAGCCATTCCTCTAAAGCCAGGGGTTAGCAAACCTTTTGGGGAAAGAGTCAAGTAGTTAATATTTTAGGCTATTGGGGCCATACTGCCTCTGCCACACTTCTGCTGTTATAACATGATAGCAGCTATAGATAGTAAATGAAAGAGCATACTTGTGTTCCTATACAACTAACTTTATTTATGGTCATTGAAATATGAGTTTCATATCATTTTCATGTGTCATGTTATTTTTCTTTTGATGTACCCACACCCCCACTCCCCCAACCATTTAAACCTTTTCTAGCTTATGGGGCTACAGTTGTAACTGTGGCTTGCCAATCCCTTCTCTAGGGAGGCCTGTTTTTTTTTTAATGGGAAGACCTCAGTCTGGGTACTTCCATAGTAGGGGTGTTCCTTCTGGTCATTGTTTCTAGGTCTTTTCGGTGGATATAGTTAGGAAGTACACATTTATTCAAAGGAAAAATGCTTTCCTGAATTCATACTGATATTTTCAGTTCACATTTAGGACTTCAGGATTTACTTGAACTTATTTGATGTTCCATTTCTAATTGAGGACCCTAATCTCACCTCTGGCTGAGTTCAAAGGATTGTATATCTCCTGGGGGTGGGGAGGGAACAGGAGGAGAGGTTCTTTTAGCCAGCCTTGGGTTTCCTCCCTTGGGAGATGGCAGAACTGACAGGGCTCTCTGTGGCTGACTGGCATGTGAGCCTGGGCTTCTCTGAGGCACATTGTGTGCAGGCATTGTGCCCCAGGAGTGCCATGGTCTTCCTCTTGGGGGATTGTCCTTAACCACTCAGAATTTATTTTACTGGAGAATTTGACCTCCCGCTATGAGGTGCCATGTGTTCTGGACCTCAAGATGGGCACACGGCAGCATGGTGATGATGCTTCAGAGGAAAAGGCAGCCAACCAGATCCGGAAGTGCCAGCAGAGTACATCTGCAGTCATCGGGGTGCGCGTGTGTGGCATGCAGGTGAGGAATGTGTTGGCACGTGGTGTGGGCTAACCAGAGCATCCATTGGCTGCTTACTTCCCCACCCTGACATAGGCTTGCTTTCTCAAAAGATTCCTGATTTGGTACTTCCTGAGTCTTACCACTCTCTGGTTAGAAAAGAGATTGTGCATATCTGGGCTATCCCCTTTGGGGCTGGCTTTGCTCCTGCTCTCTGAGTCTACAGTCTGTGGACAGGAGTCCAGAGTAAGAAAAGAAGGATTAGGCCCTCATCACTGACCCACATGCCAAGCAGTGAGCAGGGCACAGTGATGGAGCCCAGGTTGAAAGACTGTATCCCAGGTGGGTGGTGATCAGAGAGGACAGCGGTTCCTGTGCAATGTTTGTAGTTGACAAGTTAATCTAATTGAGGACTGTTGCATCGCATCCCCTTCTCCTGCCCCCTCCCTTGGGTCCAGGCTCTTGAGATCACCCTCACTCAGCTCCTGACCTGCTGGTCTCCCTCCCACAGGTGTACCAGGCAGGCAGTGGGCAGCTCATGTTCATGAACAAGTACCATGGACGGAAGCTGTCCGTGCAGGGCTTCAAGGAGGCGCTTTTCCAGTTCTTCCACAATGGGCGGTACCTGCGCCGAGAGCTCCTGGGTCCTGTGCTCAAGAAGCTGACAGAGCTCAAGGCGGTGTTAGAGCGACAGGAGTCTTACCGTTTCTACTCCAGCTCCTTGCTGGTCATCTATGATGGAAAGGAGCGGTCAGAGGTGGCCCTGGACTCCGATGCTGAGGACTTGGAGGACCTGTCAGAGGAGTCGGCCGACGAGTCTGCTGGTGCCTATGCCTACAAGCGCATTGGCCCCAGCTCAGTGGATGTGCGCATGATTGACTTTGCACACACAACCTGTAGGCTCTATGGCGAGGACAGCGTGGTACACGAGGGTCAGGACGCTGGTTATATCTTTGGGCTCCAGAGTCTGATAGACTTTGTGACAGAAATTAGCGAGGAGAGTGGAGAATGAGCACATGAGACACTCTTCATGCCCCAGTCACAGCTGTGCTGTGTCAGCAAGGTGCGGAGGAGGCCAGCATGGCCAGGCAATTGTCCCTGCAACCTGGAGCTGACTCAAAGAGGCCTCTATCAGCCCCAGCCTGAGCCAGCCTCAGCTGTCCTCGGAGTCTATTTATTTTAAATATTTCTTCAACATTCCACATTTGATGATGCAGATACCTCTTTCTTTCTTCAGTGTAAACGTTCTAATACAAATCTTTTTGTTTATTGTACACAGTACTGCTGTCATTCTTGCAAGGAACAGACAGCCTCCCTGACCTCCCCCCACCCCAACCCTCATATCCTCCCCCCTTGCTGTGACCATCACCTTGGCCTAGCTGTCAGAGCAAAGTTCTGGTCACCCCAACCCAACACTTTATGAGATTCCCTAACTAGTATCCTGGGGTCACCCAAAGATGTCCTATGCACACAACAGCTAGGCCTCCGGTCTGTTGTAGTTTAGCATCCCAGGTTTTCTACCCAGAGAACCCCACTTAATACAGCTCTTTCGTACCTATGTAGCTTAAGCCAGAGTTGGGCAGCAGGTGTTTCAAACCCCAGCTTTTGATGGCTCTTGTTTCACTAGCAGCTGAATTGGCTAAACATGTATTTCAAGATCTCCTGGAACCAATGCTAGGGCCTCAAGTAGCTGCCAGGCTCTGGTGAAGGGACCCAGAAGGGTGGAGAGAAGATGATGTTCTGGATAGAGTGGCCTTCTTGGCCCTACCATTTGTCCCCATTCTACACAGTCCCAACTGTGACTATGCCAGTTTCATCCTTTATACAGTCAAGACAGCTTATCTATAACTCTAGGGGTCTCTAGAAAGAGTGAATCAGGTGGCAGGAGGAGATCCTAAACTGCAGAGCCAGTTCCCCCAGGTAGAGTGCAAACCCTCCAGTACAGAGAGGTATTAGATTTAGGGGATCCAGTTTTAATAGTCCCCACTCCCCAACTCTTCTCTGTCCTAGAAATTCTCAGTGTCTCATCAAAACCCATTGTACCTATGTCCACTGTGCCCTCAAACAGGTCAATTACATGCAAGTATGTGCCCATACCTCCTGTTCCCTGGACCCAGACACCCAGTGGGGATTGTATAGTTGAACACAGAAATGCAAGACTTGTGGAGACCTTCCTGATCCAGGGTCTCAGGTATGCAAGGTCAGGACACATTGGCATCCCACTCCCCACCCTCCATGGGCCCTCCTATCTGCCCTTAGAGGGGTACACCAGAAATAAGGTGATTTGGAGTTTTAAGTCCTATGTTATTGAGTGCTGTCAAATTGGTTCCAACTCATGATGGCCCTGTATAGGGTTTCTGAGGCTTTAAGTCTTTGAGGGAACAGAAAGCCTCCTTTTTCTCACCTGGAGCAGCTGGCAGGCTCAAACCACAGACTTTGTGGTTCAAAGCCCAGTGCTTAGTGTATGGAGCCACCACACTCCCTATAAGAACAGGAAAACAAAGCCGTATGAGAGTAACTGATAGAGGTGGGTGATGAGGGAGGGAGAGGAAGAATGTCTCTGGCAGAGGGAACACAATACACAAAAACTATCAGGACAGAGAGGAAAAGAAAAACCAGTGGTTGAGGGCAGTATACCAAAAACCAAGCCTGTTCACAAACAGCTAGTGGATTCTAAACCACCAACTTTACTGTTTGCAGTGGAGTGTTTAACCACTGACCTACCACAGCGCTTTTGAAGGGCCACCCCTGTGGGACCTACAGGGATGGGAGGAGTTTGGATAGAAAAATGGCCCAGTCTGGTTTCTGTTTTTGCAACTTATTTCTGACTTTAAGGAGTAGTGGTGGTGCAGCGGGTTAAACGTTTGCGATTTTAACAATGCTTGACAGTTCCAATCCATCATCTGCTCCCGGGAAGAAAGATAATAACGAAATCATACTGCCTTAGATTTACATTATTGGAAACCCTATGAATGAGTCAGTTACACTCTGCCCTGTAGGGTTACTCACTGACAGAATTGACTGCACCACAGGTATGTGTGTGTGGGGTGTCTCCTGACTCTTGATTCCAACCCACTGTCCACCACCTATGGGAGGGAGCCATGTTGAAGGGTGCAGAGGCCGTCCGATGCCTGAGGGAGCCTACAAAGTCGGATTAGCGGGATCCAACAATGGGATTGCTTTGCTTTCTGTTAGTGGGTTGAGACCTACCCACACACACTCAGGCAACAGAAGCAAGTAGAGCTAAGCGGAGGACACAGGCTCTGCCTTTGGGGCTGCGTGGGGAAAAAACTCCTTTATCGACTCTAAGCGCCCGGACTTGAACGGGAGAAGGGAATGGAAGGTCAAACGTTAGAAGTCGAGGCCAAGGTTTGGAGAAGAGGATGCTAGGACCTGGGGATCCGGAAGGTCTAGGGAGGAAGAGATGGCGGAGTCTGGAGCCGCGCCAAGCCGCTTGGAACCGCTAGGGGGCGCCGTGCTCCCGTGCGTGGGCTGATACACTCTTGGGGCGGGGCTGCGGCGGGCGCGCACGCGTGGTGTCACGGGGCGGGGCGAGCGCGGCGCCCTACTCCGCTCCGCTCCGCTCTGGGCCTGGCGTCCTGGCTTCGCAACCTTAGCCACCTACCTTGCCCCGGCCTGGCCCGCCCCGGCCCGATGTACCGCGCACTGTACGCGTTCCGCTCGGCGGAGCCCAATGCCTTGCCATTCTCCGCAGGCGAGACCTTCCTGGTCCTGGAGCGCAGCAGCGCTCACTGGTGGTTGGCGGCGCGAGCGCGCAGCGGCGAGACAGGCTACGTGCCACCAGCCTACCTGCGCCGCCTGCAGGTGAGTGTGCCCTCCCCGGCCGGTTCTCCGTGGCCTGTCACTCGGCCCTGTCACAGGCCCGCGGAACCCACTCCTGAACCCCAAGGGCTCCACGTCCTCTGGGACCCCAGACCGACAGGGAATTTGTGAACCTGACTCCAAGACTCCTACACCTACGGGACTGGGTCCCCTAGAGCCAGAACCCCCCGCAAGAACCTGGCCTTTCATAGCCTACTCTGAGGGCTTCAGACCTACCAAAAGCTCAAATTCCTGGAGACCCCAGGCCCATATCATTTGTGATCCAGTATTTGAACCCCTATCTGAATAGAATTCAAGACCCTGACCTTAAACCAAAATTCTGGTCAGTTCCCCAGATCGCTAAGTCTCTCAACCCTTAATATGCCTCTTCCCTGGACCCCAGGATCCCATAATCTTGCCTCCCACTTTAAACTCCTAACTGTAGATTGGACATCATCTCTCAGTTCTTTTTCAGACCCCCACTTGGACCCTGGAGCCATAGATGACCCCTACGTCTTGGATCCTCCATGTCTTTCACTGCTTTGCTCTCAGTCACCTCTAAGCTCTAACCAAGAACTTCAGTCCTCTGAATTGGGCCACTGCTGACACTCCCTAGCATCACTACCTCCCACCATAAGCCTCAGACCCCAATTTCTCAGGCTTTCTTCTTCTGAAATAGGGGATCCTCCCACCCTGTCCCCAGCCTACAGTGAGGGGCTGCTTCCATTGTGAGGAAGTGATTCCCCAATGTCTTCTCTTGGTCTGGCCACAGTCCCATTTCATTGCAGTGAAGACTGCAGCCCCAGTTTCTGTTTCCCCAAGAGTAGTCCTGCTCCAGGGGCCCAGGTGGGGTATCTCCAGCTGGTCTATTCTAAAGAGGGGAAGGAGTGTGAGACACTCCCCACCCCTGCTAGTTCCTAGCCTTTAGGAAGCATACTGTCCCAGGTCAATTCAGAGCAGAAATAACAAAATAAGTGTGGACATAAATCATCTGGTCTTGTCAAAACAAGGGCATGGGACTGGGATCTTTCTCATAGTCTCTCAACCTGATCCCGCTTAGGTTGCGAGGTGGGGGGGATTGGTGCTTATTGGAGGCCTCTGAGGAAACCTGGTCGTTAGAGGGGCTGGATACTGGGGAGAGAGGTAGAGAAGCTGGCATCTTCTGTTCCCTCTCTCTAGCTCTGTCTCAGTCATCCTAATTGTCTGTGTTACTGTGTCGTTCTGACGCTGCTTCTTCGTATGTGTGTCTGTTTTCTGGTCCTTTTCCTCTCTCTGTCTCAGTAGCTCAGTTTCTTTCTGCATTGTCTGCCTCCATCTCTTCCAGTCCGCGTCAACTCTCTTCTGAGCCTGTGTACAGCTTTGTGCCTCTGTGTGTGTGTTTCTGTCCCCTTCTCTCTGCCTCTTGTCTCCCTGCACTCTGACACACCTTGGAGGGCTTTGCTGACCTCTGCATCCATCTGTCTGTCCCCATCAGGGAAGCTTCTCAAACCTCTGGAGTGAAGCCACATCTGAAATCCCTTTGTAGCCAAATGGACTGGGTGTGTCAGGGACATGGGAGGAGTGGTGGTGGCTGGTCCCACAGCTTCCCCACATGCCAGGCAATCTGGGTAAGACTGGACTCCTGGGTTGCTGGGGCTAGCAGCACAGAGCCTGGGGCAGGAGCCAAGCTGCCACAAGCAGAACTGCTATTTCCCAGAGTAGGTCAGAAGGATTCCTAGGAGAGGTTGTCGGGGGATGAGGGCCAACAGCAGGGGGGAAAGGGAGTGGACATCCCTTCCACCAATCCAGGGCTTGCAGACGGCTCCCCAGGGGCAAGGCTGTTCTAGAATGTGACGTCATTTTGTGAAGGGTCAGCAAGCTCCTGAGTAATTTATTAAGGGTGCAGACTAGAGGCTTCCCTGTTTGACATCTCAGCGTGGACACGGAGACAAGCTGTAGCTGGGTGTGCTCTTTTGACCTCACATGAGGGGCCCCTAGGCTATGTTTTTGCTCTAGACCCCTGATTTTCAGAAACATCTTTACTGAGAGCCTCACTGGAGAAAATCTGGAGTAGAACCCCAGTATATAAAATTTCAGCATGGAGGCTCCCTGTGCCCCTGCTCCCTGAGTGACAATTTTTTTTTTTCTCCACTTTTTAAAAAGTTTTTATTGTGAATTGAGTGATAGTTCACATGGGAAAACATCAGCTTTGCATTCATCCTATCGTATTTTGTTTCATTGCAATGATTACAATCCCCTCCATGTATCATTCAACGGCATTTGCTTCCATTCCCTCTCAGAATGTATAACCATTCAAACAACCAAAGGGTACACCCACAAGCCTGCCCCCCGCTGTCAGCACACAGCCCCTCTCCCTCCCTGAATCCAGAGTCTCCAGCCTCTCCATCTCTCCATGACATCATCTCTGCCTCCATCTCTGGCGTCACTACTTCTCTGGATAGGGTCCTGTACTCCGCTCTTCTCCCTTGATGGTCCCCGGGTCTTCCGCTCCTGAACTGCAAGATCAACCCTGAGTGACATTTTGAGAAACCTACTCCATATGCTAGTTCAGCTTTCTGTGCTGTAGCCATAGTGGTCCCTGACTACCCTGGGTTCCATCTTGGGCTGGATCTGGACTGAGCAACCCCCTACCCCCCTGGCCCCAGGTCTAACTGCTTATCCCTGCTTCCCCAGGGCTTAGAGCAGGATGTCCTGCAGGCCATTGACCGGGCCATTGAGGCTGTGCACAATGCAGCCATGCGGGACGGCGGCAAGTACAGCCTGGAACAGCGTGGAGTCCTCCAGTGAGTCCTGGGGCACGGAGCACCTCGGGAGCAAACAGGGTAGGGGCAAGAGGGAGGCTCTGTGTCCCACTGGGAGCATGTGAGGTACCTCCCCAACAGTCTCCCTGCCCCCATCAGGAAGCTGATCCACCACCGCAAAGAGACCTTATCCCGAAGAGGCCCTTCAACTGCCAGCTCTGCAACTATGACTCAGTCCACCAGTGACCACCATCTGGATGCTGCTGCTGCCAGGCAGCCCAATGGGATGTGTCGCACTGGGTTTGAGCGGCAGCACAGCCTGCCCAGTTCTGAGTATGTTGGGGCAGATGGAAGTCTCTACCAGGTAAATGGTGAGGGTCCCCTGGAGTGGGGCTGGGACTCAAGGCTTTGTCTAGAGATTTGAGGTGTCCACTCAAGTCAGAGATGCAGCCCAGAGCTCAGGGCCCAGCCAGGCTGCCACCCAAACCCTCTCTGTCCTACCAGATCCCACCACAGCCTCGCCGAGCAGCACCCACTACACCACCCCCACCTGTGAAGCGTCGAGACCGAGAGGCTCTTGTGGCCTTGGGGAGCGGTAAGAAGGCGGGAGGAGCTTGGGAGACCTGTACTTTAGAGGGATTGCTAGGCAAGTATCAGGGAGATCGGGGAGAAGGACAAGGGCCCCTGTTGGGACAGTTGGAACCACTGGGCTTGGTGGGGAGACAGGGCCTAGCAGAAGAACTGGGCCCAGCACTGAGGGGCAGGCGCTCTGGGCTTGGTGGGGATGGTGTCCCTGGAGGTTGCCCTAACTCGGCCTCCACTTTTTGCCCACAGGCAGCCGCACCATCACACCTTCAGGGGGCAGTTCTATGTCCAGTGGCTCATCAGTCAGCAGCACCTCCCTAGACACACTCTACACCGGCTCCAGTCCATCTGAGCTAGGCTCCAGCTGCTCTCCCACACCCCCACCTGTGCCCCGCCGAGGTGCCCATACCACTGTTTCCCAGGCCCAGTCCCCCCTATCCCCATCACCAACTCCCAGGCCCCCTGCAGAGGAAGTATCAGTTGTTACCACCTCAGTCCCTGAGGAACTGGAGGCCCTAGGTTCACTGAGCCTGGGGACCACAGAGGAGAAGGCAGTGGTCGAGATGGCTGTGCCGAAGAGCATTGGGGCAGAGCTGACGGAACTTGTGCGGAGAAACACTGGCCTGAGCCATGAGCTGTGCCGTGTGGCCATCGGAATCGTGGTGGGTCACATCCAGGCCTCTGTGCCAGCCAGCTCACCTGTCATGGAACAGGTCCTGCTCTCGCTGGTAGAGAGTAAGGTAAGGGTGGGCTACACAGCTAGGAGACTCCACACCCCATTACCACTCCATGTTCAGCTCCAGCTCTGGGCCTTCATTTTACTGGGCACTAGCATACCACCACCACCACCACCACCACCACAGGGCACATTTGAGCTGAGCCCTGAAAAGAGAAGGGGGAAGAGCATTCCAGGCAGAGGCTCAGCTGGAATAAAGGCTCTGAGATAGGACCGATCTTGGCTTATGGGAAGAAGTAGAACAAACTGGTATGGCTAAAACACAGGGAATGAGGATACAGGGAGGTGGAAGAGGTGAGTTCTGGGCAAATATGGGTGGCCAGGAGTTCTCTCTGGCTGCAGAGAATGAATGGACATAGGGCATGCATGAGGACAGTGCCTGCCAAGTTAGTCAGTGGACAGAAGTGGTACTTGGAGAGTTATAATGGAGACCTGGGTGCTGACTCAGCCCTGAGAGGTTGAAATATGTGGGCATCACGGGTGGAATCTTTTGCCAAAGTTGGGACACTGGTCAAAGAACAGGACTGGGAGGCACTGAGCCCACACTGCACAGTTGGGGCTGGATGGGCCAGCGGTCTCTTTCCCAGGTCTCCCTGACTTTTCCTGCTCAAGTTTGGAACATGAAAGACTGTAGAGTCAGTGGCTTCACCTATGCTGGACATGGCGGGAAGCTTTCAAGGGAAGTATAGGAGATGGGTGGGTTGCAGACCTGGTAGCCACTGTGTGTAGATTCCGAAGGTAGGGTCTCAGACAAAACAGGCAATGACAGAGTTCACAGCCCACCTCAGAAGTATTTATCTAGGGCTGGAGTGGGAGATGATTTATTGGAAAACATATCCCAGATGCGTCTCATGTAGGAGCTTGTCCCAGGAGGTCATAAAGTCCAGGGGACTTTGTGGAGGGGCATTAAAACTGGGCCATTGCCCTGGGGAACCTGGCATTGTGGGATGGACCTGGAGATGGGGCTTATGTGGGAGGTTAGGTGGGAGCACTGAGGAGAACGCTGACCAGGGCCACTGAAGCCCCTTCCTTGCCTGAGGCCAGCCTCAGCTTGGCTTGGGAGTCTGGTCAAGCTCCATCCCCAGCTGTGAGCTATGCAGGACTTGAGCTCAGCTCACAGAGTCCAGGCCTATGGGTGGATATGCTAGGCCTTGAGGAGTTCTGGAAGTGGTGGTAGGCAGGGATGTGTTGAGCCATGCCTCTCCCCTCAGGACCTGAGCACAGCCCTGCCCTCAGGGCAGGTCTGCCATGACCAGCAGCGGCTGGAAGTGATCTTTGCAGACCTGGCTCGGCGGAAGGACGATGCCCAGCAGCGCAGCTGGGCCCTATATGAAGATGAGAGCGTCATCTGCTGCTATCTGGAGGAGCTGTTACACATTCTGGTGTGGAATGGGGCACGGGGTGGCCCTCATGTGGAGAAGTGACCTCCACCCTGAACTATCTCTCTGAAACGCTTGGGAGTCTTCCAATATGTATGGGCTTGGAGTTCATTGTGGCTGCAAAGCTCCCGTGGGGTGACTCCATCACACTTTCTCCTCCCTACAGACTGATGCAGACCCTGAAGTTTGCAAGAAAATGTGCAAGAGGAACGAGTTCGAGTCTGTTTTGGCCTTGGTGGCCTATTACCAAATGGTGTGTGTGAGGCTGAGGGGAGGGCCTGGAGGGATCTGGGTGAGGGGGGGCTGGCAGTCGCTAAGCACACAGGGTCTCCTGCCAGGAACACCGGGTGTCCCTGCGGCTGCTGCTGCTCAAGTGCTTCGGCGCCATGTGCAGCTTGGACGCAGCCATCATCTCCACGCTCGTGTCTTCTGTACTGCCTGTGGAGCTGGCGCGGGACATGCAGACAGACACCCAGGGTGAGGTGGAGTTGGAGGTTCCTGCCATCTGGAGGGAATTCCCACCATGGGCAAGGACTCTAACTGCCTGCTTTGCTTCCCAGACCACCAGAAACTCTGCTACTCGGCGCTCATCCTGGCCATGGTCTTCTCTATGGGGGAGGCAGTGCCCTATGCACACTATGGTAAGAAGGCAGATCGCTAGCCAGCTAACCACAGGATACCCACAGCTAGCAGGAGCTGGGACCTGTGGCCTGAGGCTGGTTACAGCCTGACCAGGGATAGGCTGTCCCCAGGGATCGCAGAAAGCTAGGGAGGCTGGATGGCATGGGGTGGAGAAGGAAGGCTGCAGACCTCTGTGTGCCCCTCTCCCAGAGCACCTGGGCACACCTTTTGCCCAGTTCCTGCTGAGTGTCGTTGAGGATGGACTACCCTCGGACACCACAGAGCAGCTGCCAGACCTCTGCATGAACCTGCTTCTGGCTCTCAACCTGCACCTTCCAGGTGGGGGTGAGGCCCAGGTGGGAAGTGACTGACCCACTCGCTCAGGGGTGCTCCAGACTCCCCACCTATGCTTCTTTCCACATCCGTGTCCTTCCTCAGCCCCTGACCAGAATGTCATCATGACTGCTTTGAGCAAACATACTAATGTCAAGATCTTCTCTGAGAAGCTGCTATTACTGCTGAACAGAGCAGGTGAGGGACCTGGTTATCTGTGAGGTTCCACTTCAGTGCCTTGTAATGCCATGATGCTCTGTGGTGACCCCAAAGCACCTTGGGGTGACTCTGGGACCCCTTGGAGAACTGTCCTAATCTCTGGTCTTTGTCTCCTAGATGACCCGGTACGCATCTTCAAGCACGAGCCCCAGCCACCACACTCCATCCTCAAGTTCTTGCAGGATGTGTTTGCCAGCTCAGCCACAGCTGCCATCTTCTACCACACGGACATGATGGCACTCATCGACATCACTGTGCGGCACATCGCGGACCTGTCACCTGGAGACAAGGTGCCTGGAGGTGGCTGCAATAGTGACAGAGCTATGTGGATATGAAACAAAATGGGAGGGGGAAAGTGTGCCCCTGAGTGGAGAAGGGGTCTCGGGGGTTACTCCTTGAACCCGGTAGGTGTGGGAAGCTGCTCAGGAACCATGACACTTATACTAAGACCTGAAAGAGCCATTTGTGAGGTGGAGTTAAGTGTCTGGAGGAAGCAGGAGTGGTTTGATGGGGGTGGAGGAGAGGAAGAGGAAATGGCGCTGACACTAAGCTTGGAGGCTGCAGCAGGGAGTTCTTTCCCCTCAGAGGAATGCAAGTGTTGAGAGGGGCCTGAGCAGTGATGACATATGTGGGTCTTGTACATGATCCGATGTACATCATGCAGGATTTAGACAGTGCGAGAGCCAAGTGGAAGTGAGAGCCAGAGAGGAGGCTCCTGAAGCTGTCCCTGGGGAGTGGATGAGACAGGAGGCGGTCAGGTGTGTTGGAAGTGCATCTGACAGGACCTGCTGCTGAGTTGGACATGAGGACAAAGGAAAGGGGAGAATCAAAGAGGCTAAGGAAAATTTTGTTTTGAGCAACTGGGTGGATGAGGTACTGATTACTGAGGTGGGCAAGAACTTTTTTGGGAAAAATGAGTTCTGTTTTGAATTTGTTAAGATTGAGAAGGGATAGGGTGAGGGAGGGAGGGGAAGGTGGAACACAGGGCAAGGAATAGACACAGGATAGTTTGGGTGCTAGGGAGGGAGGCAATACACAAGAAGGGGGAGGGGAATGGAAGAACAAAGCGGACAAGAAAACAGTTAGGCAGTTTTGCATGGGCTAAGTGGGACAGAGGTAAATAATGATGTATGCACAGCCTTGGAACAACAGGGCTCTGGGATACAGAGATTGAGACATGGTTGGAATGGAGAAAAGGGAGAAAATAATGTTAAGATACTTGGCTGTCTTTTGAATCTTGGTTTTCCTTGCATTATATTATAAAATAGACACTTGAGGGAGAGAGAGAGGAATAGCCAGAAATATCATCATAGAAAGGTTGTAAGCCTGTCTTTTGCCTATAATTGATTGGAATACCTAAAATGAGGCTACAACATGCCCAGTGAAGGAGGCTTCCTGTAGAGCCTCTGCATTACATTACATAAGACCATATAATCCTGAATCCCATCCAGAATCTTCTGAAGAGGGAAATTTCCATTTGAAAGGACAAGCACAGCAGCCTGGAGCAGCTAGAAGAACAGAAGATACTTCTTGCAAGAAAGACCTGGGAGCGGAATACAAGAAATAATGGCAAGTGGTCGGGTCCCCTCAGAGCAAACTCTCTTCTCAATGGGAATACGCGCTCTGACTGGTGACCACATTCGTCATGGATAAGGGGAAGTGAGGGAAAAACAGCAATGAAGCGGTGAGCTAAGCCCTACAATGTTCAATAGACTCCTGTGAACCTGGGTGGAGACCTGGTTGGCCATCAGTGTGGCAAGACCTGGGGACTCTTGGGCCCAGAGTCAGTGACATAGCCGCAGAGGACTAATGAAGCCTCCAGCTTCATAAGAAGTGAGGGGATATGCACAAGAACACCCACACTTGCAGATAATACCCACTTGACCTGGCTTCAGAGACTGGATGATCAGAGCTCAACTAGAAGAAGAAAGAAGAGGAAAAAAAAGAGTAATCTGATACAATTTGATGAACTTGACCTATACCTGTGGATGCAGTAGCTCAAAAGAGAGAATAGATCTTTACAGCGAGGATCATTCCCACCCCCTTCATAAACAGAGTAGACAGGGATGGGCAACTTGGACATTGGCTACCCAAAATGGGGGGGCTACAAAGGCAAGAAGTGACTGGCTTACAAGCTTTCAAAAGGGACTCTTAGCTCCAGAGGGCATGGAGGAAGGTAGAATCTCCACTGAGTAGTATCCGATCTGTCTAGGCGGGGCTGATGAAAGGAGATATGGATAGGTCTCTTGTGATACAATAGTGATTAATTGTTATCAGGACTGATTGTGAGGGTTGGAAATGTAAAGGTAGACTTTTTGTAGCAAACGGAGGGGAGTGATTAACTTTTCAGTATAGGAGTGGAGGTCCCTGGGACCTCCAAGGGAGAAGAGTGGAGAGCGGGACCCTACCCAGAGAAGCAGTGATGCCAGAGATGGAGACAGATATGATGATGTGGAGAGATATAGCAGTTGGGGTCTTTAGACCCAGAGAGGGAGAGGGGCTGTGTGCTGATGACCAGGGGTCAGGCTTGCAGAGTATACTCTTTGGTTGGTTGATGATACATGGAGGGGCATATAACCATGGCAATAAAATGATAGACGATAGGATGAATGTAAAGCTAATGTTCTCCCATGTAAACTATCACAAAATTCATAATAAAACATTAAAAAAAAAGATTGAGAAGGGTTGTCAGGATCAGGGTGGGATGGGATTTGGTATGACAAGAAATGTTTTAGACCTGCTTGTGCGTAGACATGATAGGAAGTTTGTGGTGTGTGATGCCCTAAGGAGTGCAATAAAGGGTCAGCAGGAAGCATGTGGTGATGAGTAGGGCGAAACCCAGGAGGAAGACCAAGAGAGCAGGGATCTTAGAGCCACATGCTTGGAACACGAGGGAGATGAGCTTTCTTCATGCAGTAAGGCACCAAAGTAAAATGAGGCCTGAGAACTGGCCACTGGCTGCTGGATTTGCCACATGGAGGTCACTGGGAATGGACAGGAAATGTCAGTGGAGGGGAATCTGAATGGGACTTGAAGTTGGGGTTGCTTCATTGGAGACATCTCTTATAAGTTTTACTGTGAAGAGGAGCAGAAAAATGGAAAGTCACTGGAGGAAGATGTGGGGGTCAAGGAGAATGTTTTATGGGTGTGAGGTGCCGGTATGTGTCCCTGGGCCAGTGGGAAGTATCCAGTAATATGAAGAACTGGGCCATATGGTGGAGGCCAGTAGCTGAGGCAGCTGGCAATGTCCAGGCCTTGGGATGACCCCCAATGTGTGCCAGCTGGTTCCAGTTCAGACAGGCAAGATGTGGGTTTGAGACACAACTGAAAGATTGCTTCTGTATTTCTGTTTGCTCCATGAGGCACAAGTCCATCCAACCAGGAAATTCAGGTTTGGAAAATAGGGAGAAAGGTGTGTGCTGGTCCTTAAGGGCGAGCAAACCCAGCAGAGAAATCCTGTGTGCATTCCAGGCAGTGCTAAGCATCCCTCTGAGGTTTGTGGTCAGGCCTGGACGAGGCTCTGTAGCTGTCTGCTGCTTAGAGACACTGGTCTTGGTTGTGCAGGCACCATGGTTTGACTGGGGTTGGGAGTTAGCATGATGATGCTGCGCAAAGGAGGTTTTGGTATTGATTTCTTTAATCCAAGTGAAATGAGAGATGGTAAGGATGGTGGACAGAGAAAATGCTGGGGTCATGTCTGTAGACTGGGGCTTCTAGTGATGACGAGGAGTAGCTTGGGTGTCAAGCTGTATGGGTTGTTGGAACATTTAAACTAGAGATACTGGGAGCATGGATGGTTGAGCGGGGTGTTAGACATGGATTTAGAGCACATGTGGCTGGTTAGATGGGCAGACCTAAGAGCTGGATATAGGGTATGAGGGAAGGGAGGAATGAAAGAGAACTCCTGGGCTTCCAGCTGTGCATTTGGATAAGAGCAGTGTGCTCTTATTAAGATAGCATGAGAAGGCCTTCAGCTGTGGGAGGGTGGGGAGAACATGAGTTGCGTTGTGGGTCTCTGAGATAAGCAGATGACAAGTGGGCAGTTGGATGTTCTTGGAGGAAGCTCCCAGCAGAGGTCCAGGTAAGAGGTTCAACTGTGATTCAGTATCTGAAGCTATGGCTGTGGCTGAATTCTTCTAGTTGGGGAGAGGATGCAGTGAGAAGCACAGTACCTTTCACTGACATCAGCACCTCTAGGACACCAGCCTTAAGGGACAGTCAGGGCCTTGTTCCCTCCCCTTGCCATGTGTCTGAGCTAGAACTTCCTGGACTGGCCACATTCTGGACCATCTTTGGCTGCAATGCTTCATTCACTTTACTCACTCAACTATTATCCAAGTCCAGTTCCATGCCAAAAACATTCTGAGCTGGGGGATGCGGCCCTGGGTTCAGTGGTGTGAGCTGGTTCTTAACCCCGGGATCCATGGGGCTGCCATGCGACAGTAGTGGTCTGTCCTGTCTGCAACAGTAGGACCTCCCTGAGTTGACCATGTCTTCCTACAGCTGCGCATGGAATACCTCTCCCTGATGCATGCTGTGGTCCGCTCCACACCCTACTTACAGCATCGCCACCGGCTCCCTGACTTGCAGGCCACATTGCGCCGCATCCTTGCTGAGGAGGAGGCCTCGCCCCAGTGCCAGATGGACCGCATGATTGTCCGAGAGATGTGCAAGGAATTTCCAGTGCTGGGCGAGGCCCCCAGCTAGCGCCCCCTCTGCCTCTCTTCCTTGCAGCCCCAGGCAGGGTGTAGGGGGCATAGAGACTTGGCCCCAAGAATGTTTTACACTGAGAGTATGAAGGGAGAAGGTGCTGGGAGGGTCCTGAGCACCCAAGGTAGAGTTAATGCTTGGAGGGGCCAAATGTGGGCTTGGGGACCATGGTCTGGGAGCTATGCTGGGCAGGGGACAATGTGTGAGCTAAAGCCCTTCCATCCCTGGTAAGCTGTCTCTTCAGCATGCCTGCTCCCTAATATACACATACACATAAGAGTCTTGTTGCTGCTGCTCTAGGCTGGACCAGTTCCCCCATCCCCACCTAGCCTAGTCCTTGTCCTGGGCCTCAGCAAGCCATGTCCTTGGGGTGAGGGGAGACATCTCCCACCAGCTCTGTTCTTTGTCTTAGCTTTGCAGTGAGTCCTGCTCATGTGCGCCTCCTTCCCTGTGGGGTTGCTGCCCTTCGCTCCCACCCCTGGGAGCCCTGGCCAAGTTACTGTTTGAAAGTGGGACTGGGGGACAGGCCATCCTAAACGTAAAGCCTTACAGGATAGGGTGGTGACCCTAAGAAAGCCAATGACAGAATCTATTTTCTCTGTAAAAATGTAGACTGAAAAGCCATGTGTATTTTCCTATGTGCTGCATCTTAACCTTTGGAAATAAATCACAGGCATCTGAAAACAGACTTCCTTGTGTGACCTGGTTGGGGGTAAGTAGATGGACTGGGACACTGGGGCCTCAAAACCCCATCACTATACTTGCTCTGACCTCTCCAGCCAGAGGTGGGGACAATGTCCTGACAGGTCTGGCCTGCATGGCCCCTTGAGCTCTGTTCTAGCCTATTCCCTGAGCTCCCACTTTTCCTGGGCCTGTATGCAGTCAACACGTACCTCTTGGACTTTTTTCTTCTGTCTGCTCTTCCAGGCTTTACTTAAATCTTTCTCTTTGCCTTCCATGCCTTCCTACCTATTAAAACCCTGTCATCTTTTCTAGCTACTTAATGAAATAGGCCCACCCCCAGCTCTGTCCTTCCAAGACATCAATTAGAAGTTGTTTTCGTCAGTTCCTTTCATTTTTTTTGCCCAAGATGACTATCATCACACAATTCCATGCACCCAGAATTATTGACACTGTAATTTCCAGCCATGACTTCTGGAAGAAATCTTTTACAGGAAGCTAGGGTTGGGTGTGGGGCCCTATAAAGCAGGTGCTCAGGAAGCTGAGGCAGTAACGTTATTATATAGGGAACCTATGGGAAGGAGACACAAGAGACTCATAGGGAGTCATTCCTCCTTAACCATTGACTGCGTCAGAAGACTAGGTGCATAGACTCACCTGGACTAAGGCGGAGTCGCCAAAGCGTTTCTTATCTGTGGATGAGAAAGCTGTGTAGATAAGAAGCCCAGTTGGCATAGTGCTTAATCACGTAGCTGCTAACCAGAAGTTGGCAGTTTGAACCCACCAGCCACTGCAAAGGAGAAAAGATTTAGTAATCTGCTCCTAGAAAGATTACAGCATAGAAAACCCTATGGAGCAATTCTTCATTGTACGACTGTTAGGACTTGGGATCAACTCAAGGGCACACGGTAACAAAGCTCTGTGAGGCATCTGGTTCCCCTTTCACAATGTGAATTCCAGGCTTTCTTTCATACTTGGTGGGGTGCTGAACACAGAGAACCATTATTCACAGAAGACAGTGTCATTCAGTGAAAAGCACAGGTCCTCAGGAAGCCAAGACAGTCTCGATGCTTTGCTCTGTTCTCTATCAGGAGGCACATACACAAAGCTCAGGGAAAGAGCATGGCTGTGCTGTGCCTCTGTCCCAGTGTTAGCACCTATAGGCTCTATGGCAGGAAGAACAGAAGCCCCTGCCCACTTTTACAGGATTGTCCAAGGGCCCAGCCCCTTGCATGCATTTCTAAGGAATGTGGGGGCTTCAGACCTTACTACCCCCTTAGCAATGACTTCGCAACACAAAAATACAACTATATGAAAAGGTTATCTTTGTGGTTGGCTGGAGAATTCCTCTCGGGGAGAGAACTGTCTTTGAGGGAACATTTCTATGGCTGCTTGGAGTAGTAGATTTGGGATGTGGCTAGGCAGAAGAAAAAAGTACACTGAACCACTCAGTGAAACAAAAAGGGTATGCTTGCATGGAGTTGAGAAGAAAAAAATCTTAGTGGAGGGACATCAAAAGGTGGGGATTAGCCAAACCACTAGGACTAAAAATGGGAGTCCTAGTGTGGCGCTGTAGGATAAGCACTGGATTGCTAACCACAAGATTGGTGGCTCAAACCCACCAGCTGCTCCTTGGAAACCTATATAGGGTTGTTATGAGTCAGAATTAACTTGATGAAACTTAACATCGAAAGTACTGATGCCAGCCAGGTCTGTGAAACATACACTCGGGACCACAGGCTATATGTGTATAAGGCAATGTTTTCCAAACAGACTGTACCAATGTACACTCCTCCAGCAGTTGTAATTGCGTCATATCTTTCCTGAAATTTGGTATTGTCAGTTTTTATTGTATTCATTCTGATGGGAGTCTGGTGGTAGTGTGCTGTGGAGTTGGCTCTGAATCACAGCGAACCTACATAGGGTTTCCAAGGTTGTAAATCTTTACGAGAGCAGAAAGCCTTATCTTTCTTCAATGGAATGGCTGGTAGTTTTGAACTAATGATGTTGAGGTTAGCAGCTCGACTTGTAACCACTATGTTACCAGAGATCCTTTGATGGGCATATAGTGACATTTATTTTCAAATTTATGTTTCTCTGATGATTAAAGAGTTTGAGCGCCGTTTCATTAGATTCTTGGCTATTTAAAGATCCTCTTTTGTGATGTATCTGTTCAAATCCCATCCCCATTTATCTGTGGAGTTTTTCTGTCCTTTATGGATTTAAAGACTACATTATCCCACTTTCTTATCATTGTCTTTTTGATTAAAAGTTCTTATTTGTAAGGTAAACCAATTTATCAGTAATTTCTTTTATAGCTAGTGCATTTTGTGTCCTGTTAAAATTTTTTTGCCTAAAGTCATGCAGATCTTCTGTGTTCTCTTATAGAAGCTGCACAAATGTCTTTCCTTCCCCATTCAGATGTCAGATCCATAAGGAATTATGTGTATGTGAGGAGTATGAAGTAGAAGCCTTATTTAATTTTTTTTCCTATATGGATATCCAAGGAGCTCTGGTAGCATAGTGATTACGAGTCAGTTTGCTAACCACAAGGTCAAAACTACAGCTGTTCTGAGGGAGAAAGATGAGGCTTTCTGCTCCCATAAAGATTTACAGCCTCATGGTCGCTGTAGCTTGTTAAACCAGTAAAGGAAGTTGTCTTCTTACTTTTTTTTCTTCAACACCATCTTGGGAATTCTTGGCCCTCATACATTTCAGAATCTAGTTTGTCAAGTCTCTCTCTCTCTCTTATACACGCACACACATGCTATGTACTAGAATTTTGAATAGAGTTGCATTAAATCTATGTGTACCAATGTGGGAAGAATTTCCATGTGTCAGGAATTGTCTTCCCCCAAACCATGAATCTGTCAGTTTGTCGTACTGTGGTGGCTTGTGAGTTGCTGTGATTCTGAAAGCTATGCCACCAGTATTTTAAATACCAGCAGGGTCAACCATGGTGGACAGTTTTCAGATGAGCTTCCAGACGAAGACAAACTAGGAAGAAGGAGTGACGAACCACTTCAGAATATTTAGTCACTGAAAACCTTATGAATAGCAGAGAAACACTGTCAGATACAGTGCCGGAAAATGAGTCCCTCAGGTTGGAAGGCATTCAAAATGTGAATGGGGAAGAGCTGCCTCCTCAAAGGAGAGTTGACCGAGATAACATGAATGGAGTAAAGCCCATGGGAGAAAAGCCCACGGGACCTTCATTTGCTGATGGGGCACAACTCAAAATGAAGAGAAACAGCTGTAAACATCCATTAATAATCGGAACATGGAATGTATGAAGTATGAATCTGGGAAAATTGGAAGTTGTCAAAAATGAAATGGAACGCATAAACATCAATATCTTAGGCATTAGTGAGCTGAAATGGACTGGTATTGGCCATTTTGAATCTGATAACCACATGGGAATGACAAATTGAAGAGGCATGATGTTGCATTCATTGTCAGAAAGAACATATCCAGATCAGTCATGAGGTATAATGCTGTCTGTGATAGGATAATATCCATGCGCCTACAGGGAAGCCCAGTTAATACCTCTATTATCAAAATTTACACACCAACCACTAAAGTCACTGAGGATGAAATAGAAGAATTCTACCAACTCCTTCAATCTGAAATAGATCAAACATGCAATCAGGATGTACTGCTCATTACTGGTGATTGGAATGCAAAGGTTGGGAGCAAAGAGGAAGGATCAGTAGTTGGAAAATATGGCTTTGGTGATAGAAATGATACCGAAGAACGCATGATAGAATTCTGCAAAAATCAATGATTTGTTCATTTCAAATACCTTCTTTAGACCGCATAAGAGACCCCCAATGAGATGGATTGGCCAAGTGGCAGCATTGATTGACTCAAGCATGGCAACAGTAATGAGGTTGGCCCAGGATCAGGCAGTGTTCCGTTCTGCTGTGCATAAGGTTGCTATGAGTCAGTACCGACTCGATGGCACCTAACAACAACAAACCATGAATCAACTTGACTAGCCCAAGTTTCAGTTTGGCAGTTTTGTAGTGATGTAATCATACCCATGATGTAATCTGATGTGTTTGATCAACCAGTTGTAAAGTGTTTAGGGTGGGATGCAACACCCTTAGTCAGGCCACAGCTCTGATACAATGTAAAGGGAGTTTCCCTGGAATGTGGCCTGTATCACCTTTTATCTTAGAAGAGATAAAAGGAGAAAGAAAGGAGCAGAGAAGGAGGGAGTTGGCTAACACCGAAAAAAGAAAAACAGATGCAGGGGTCCCTGGGTTGAGAAGCTTCTAGACCCAGGGGAAGATTGATGCCAAGACACATGGAGATCTACAATGAACACTGGGCCCACAGATGTTGAAAGGAGACAAGGACCTTTCCTGAGATCCAACAGAGACATAAAGCCTTCTCCTACAGCTCACATCCTGAATTTGGACATCTAACCTCCTAGATGAGGGGAGAATAAATGTCTATTCCATCCACTTGTGGCATTTCTCAGAGCAGATAGCTAAGACAGCATGTTTACATGTATCTTTGAACACAGTTTTTTAACCCACTTATGCCTTGCTTTCAATAGCTTTTTTTGAAGTCTTTGCACATCTTTCACTAGATTTATTTTTCAGCATTTTATGTTACTTGCTGCTATTAAAAGTTTTTATTTTCTGTTGCTGATATATAGAGATTATAACTGATTTTTATACATTTACCTTGTTTCCAACAACTTTGTTAAACTCATTCATTCTAATAATCTATCTGTAGGCTCTTTTGCATTTTTTACATACACAATCCTGTTGCCTATAAATGAGTTTTATTTTTATCATCCCAAATACTGTTGCCTTTTATTACTTTTCTTGACTTACTGTACTGGTTAGACCCTTCAATACAATATGGAGGCTTGTGTTCATGAATGTAAAATGAGACCAATTAGCACATTTGTATGATTTCCTCCACCAATCCTGTACTGCCTTATATATGAGGAATACACAAATAGTCTGTTTTAAGTGGCTTTAGATTTTCACCTAGGCACTTTGAGTAAAATTAGGGCAAGGGAGTTTTTATAGCACTGCAGCCTATAACGTAAAGGTGAGGAACTGAAAGGTATATGGACAATGGATTGGTGGCCTCAGTGTGTCTAAGAACTGTTTGGGTAATTGAGTTGGATGGGCTGGCCAGTCCTAGCTGGACTCTCTCTCCATGGCATCCTTTGGCTAAGAAGAAGCTGTAGGCAAATACAGGATGGGGAGGAAGAAACAGAAAAAGAGGGACTAAGATGTCCCAGAAGATATTCCTTTGCACTCTGGCCTCTTGACCTATCTCTGTCTGCCACGCAGTAGTTTCAAATCCAGGTCTCTGGGCACTCAGATTCCTGAGTGAAGTTTGGAGCTGGTTAGAGGAGAATGAGGGTGAGCCATGTAAGGGGTCCCATTGTGTTCCTAGAAAGTAGAGAGGCAAGACTGGACTTAGATGTGGAGGGAGGAACTATCACCAACATTTGACTTTTTAAAAAAATGTATATTCAAATGTTTATAGTAAAACAAATATACAAACACAATACTCTTGCTATTTCTCATTTAACACTTTTACAGAGCCCAAACCTTTCTAAAAGAATAATCCTCACAGAAAATTTCCTTCTCATTAAAAATAACAAACACCCCACAAGATACAATTAAATGAGAATATAGATTATTTTCCCACATCATCAAAATCACTTTTTTTTCTTGGTAAGAAACAAATGGTAGCAAGTTTGACAGAGAATTGTATACACTGAAGAGCTATTTTCCCTCTTGGTCATTCAAGATCCTGCTCAGTCATTTCCTCCTCCTGGAAGTCTTTTCCAGATAGCTAAATTTAGTCTGGCGTTTCCTCTTAATTCCCAGCAGCCCTCACTTGAGAGCTGCATCTTTCTTAGGCTTTGTGCCCTTCATTCACTAGCTCCGGGGCAAAGGTCCTGTCAAAACCATATGAGGGGCCACCCTCCGCTCACGCTGAACCCCCATCCGACCTTCAGCGTTTCTGAAGATGACTCATCCCCACTCATCCTGCGAGCACACACGTAGGAACCTATACTGTGAATCGGCCTCGAGTCTATCTATCACTCCTGAGGATTCGCAAATTAAAGAGATGAAGACCCAACTGCAGCCCGTAGGACAGCTCTCCGTCGCCACGTGGGGCACTCGGAAGGCGGAACCGGCGAGATGCCCGCCTCCCGGAAGCGAATAAGTCGAGAGTTAAGAGAATGAGCCATTTGATTGGTTGATGGTGATATCATAGATGCCGTACGGGCGAGCCGACGCCTTGGGCTAGGAGTTTGCTACTTGTTTGAAGCAGGATCCGCCCATTTGGAGAGTGGCGCCCGGGGAAGCGTTCCGGGCCCCGGCTCTGACCCCGCTTGTCGGTCTCAGGACGCCTGCATGTGGTGCTGCAGCCCGTTTCCTCTGCAGCCTCTGCGGACGGTTCAGAAAGCGCCTCCTAGGCTAATCTCTATCGTTTAGCTTTGAACCCACGGAGCCCCCTCCTCCCAGACAATAAGTCAGCCGTGAGGGTCGGGGCCTCCCTTGTGCCAATAGCAATCTTGACTCTCTGATTGGAACGCTCCTCCTCCTCTTCGTTTTCTGTGACGTCTGCTTTGCTGAGTTCTCCTATTGGCCAGCCAGGACCGGTGTGTGCCTGGAGCTGCACCGTGCGGGTAGACCTGGAGTGAACCACCAGAGAACTGAGCCTCTGTTAGTCCCTTCAAGGGGTTAAGGGACACAGGCTTGGCGGGTGAGGGGCGGGGATCCGGAGAAAAGCGCAGCAGCCGTGCATCAGTGCCAGGCTTCACGTGGAGTCTCAGAGCTCTCTGGGATGGCAGCTTGGGAGGGAGGGGCCTTCAGTCCAAGATACCGCTGGGATCCTGCAGGTCAAGGGAGCGTCTAGCCCCTAATCTTGCAGCCTCGGGCAGGTCAATTTCTGTCTTTGCTCCGAAGGGATGTTCCAAACAAGCTGACGGTCATGACATATTTTATGAGTTAAACTCGTTAGTTGAATAGTTGAAGCAATTGTTCGTGTTGTTGGCGCCCCAGGCCCCCGTTCGACCATCGTCTCTCAGCCCTCAGGATTTCATAAGGTCCTCCAGCCCATGGTCGTGAGAATGCTGTCTATACGCCGTGGGCACCAAAATTTCAGATCGAAATCCGGGGTAGGGTTGGAGTCTGCTGTTCAGGAAGGAGGACAAGAGACCCGCAAGCAGAAGGAAGGCTGGGTACCGGCGTGGAGACATTAACCGAGAAGGAGGGAAAGCGGGTGAGGGCGGTGGTCCAGATAGAAGAGGACGAACCCAACAACTACGAACTTCCGCGGTCTGTTCAGCACTCTGGGCAGCAATTTGCCCTTAGTAAAGATGGCGGGAATAGTTTCGTTAGTCAGAGCTGCCATGCGCAACGGGTCGTACCATAGGATTTGGGGCGTCGGGGCGGAGGTGGAGCAAACCATCGGGGTGGTTGGGAGCCATGTTGGAACGGCAGGAGGCAGCGGCAGCGACGGGGATGCTGTGGTGGGAGCAACAGAAGGCAGGGCCGCACGCCAAAGGAGCTCTGGCCACGGAGTAGATGGTGCCCAGAGGGCGGCGGCGGCGCGGAGCGACAGACCAAGGGGCGGAGGGCCGGGGCGGCAGTAGGGGCCCCGGAGGGGGCCCGAGCGGCGGGGCGGGCCCACGGCCCAGGCC